TCCTTCACTAGATGGCTGGTCCTTCACTAGATGGCTGGTCCTTCACTAGATGGCTGGTCCTTCACTAGATGGCTGGTCCTTCACTAGATGGCTGGCCCTTTCAGAAGGAAAGAGGACTCATCATAACTACTTATGGTCTTATGTCTTAGGGGAAGGACCCACCTCGGAGATTACCAGGATGGCACATCACTCTCGCCCAAAAGGTTTCTAAATTGCCAAGTTCTGAACCGGAGATTATGCCAGGTCATTGCTAGGGCCAGGGCTTGGTTTGAAATGGTTCAGTTACAGCAACGGAAAGATGAGCAGCATACACATTGCCTAATAACCATATCTGGTGCATGTTGGGTTTTGACCCAAGTAGGAAACAGGCAGTGGTGGCCTGCTCAAAGATGGTGACCAGCCACCCCTCTTTTTTATGTGCAGGATGCCATCTTTGAATGGGGTACCGAGGCTGGTGACCTACAGATAAAACCAAAATTGTGTTCAATGTGTGTACAGTTCCCTAGAAAGAGAAAGTATCTTAGTTTTTCTCTTGAAGACTTTTATCTCTTTAGGAAAATAAGGAAGCAGGAGACACTAGGAACAACTAATAAATAAATGATGGGGATAAAGCCAATCAAGGAAAAAAATGTTGTAATAATACTGAATGCTTTTCAGAGATTTTCAAATTTATAATCAAATTAAATTCCAATTTTTGAAGCCAGAATGAAGTAAAAATAATTTACGTGAGAGCCATCTGGAGACAGCAGTGAGAATTGAGCCCATGGCCCGTGTCCTAATTAACTGTGATCCTCTCGAAGGTGTGTTGGTAATTCCTAAAGAACAGCCTATTCTCCAGCTTGAGTCTCCTTTACTGGGTGGACTGCCAAGTACTTAGTGGAGTACTGGAAAAGAGAATTGTATTTCTGCTACCGTGTCTTGAGATTTTTAGTGATGGGCAGGTCTTAAGGCTTACACAGATCTGAGGCTTTTACAAAGCTTTATGTCTCAGCTCTTCCGTGTCTGCTATTTTTTCTTAAAGGAAAAAGCCAAATCCCATTCTAGCCCGGAGCAATACTTCTAGGGCTAGCTTCCAAAGAGCATGGCATTGCTCCTTACACTTTGTTCCTGAAAGACCCTCTTTAGCTTCCTGTTAGCCTCGACTTCTACAACAGGGTCCAAAGAAAGGTACACTTCTTAGAAATCCGTAAAAGAACTCTTCTTTCATTCAACTGGCATCATAGTCTCCTATGATATTCACATGAAATAAGCATACATGCACGCGTTCAGATTTGGTCCAGAGTAAAGCAGCAAGACACTTTTCTTCTTAAGGCTCATCTAGCTTTGATTTAAACAACGACAAACGAAATCAACACACAAACAAGTACAGAAAAAAGAAAAAATACCTTTGCAAATATAGTCTTGACATAAATTGGCAGGTCTCCATGGGGACTTCCATAACCCCCTACAATACTAAACCCCAATCCTTCAGAGCCTTTCTCCATAGTAATAATCTTAGGTGGAGGTGTTCTGAAAACACAATGGATGCTGTTTAATCGAAGAGTAGATATTGAGAGGGAATTTCATTTTCATGGAAGAACACAGATTTGAGAGAGACTTTCATACCGCAAAACTATGAAGGCTGGTTTTATCAACTTCAAACTGTTGGAGAGCAATTTAGAAAGTTCTTTTTAACTTCCCATGCCATGCCACCCACTAATGATCAACAACTATGGCTGTTTTGGGGGCTTCTCTATCATAAAACCTACTGTTTTCAGATTAAAGTCATGATGCCGAAATTGCCAAAGCACCCTCAAGCTGACTGGTTAAAGCTGAGTGACCTTTTATCTCCTGGTAGAATGTGCAGGGCAAAGACAAGAGGGTTACCAGCCTGGCTTAGTGGTGGGTGGTTGTGTTCAGGTAAACTTCTGTTCAGAACAGGTAATGGCTACCAAGTAGTTGAGCCAATTGCTGCCCCTGTTCTGCCCGCATAGATTGACCCCAGCTCCCCCAAGCATCATTCTCCAGTGTGATGCTTCCCTGATTCCCGGAGGGGAGTTAGGCACGCCCTCCTCTGTGGTCCCTTTGTCCTCGGTGCTAATTCCCCAGATGGCAATTAAGTCATGTGGTGATTATTTAGCTATTTCTCCCCACCAGACCACAAACTCCCTAAGTCTTCGTCATGGCAGCCTTCCCAGCACCATAGAGGCACTGCACTTGTCACAAATCCAGGATCATGACGCTGGAAATGAGAAGTGAAATCTCGGAAAGTGGAGAGAAACCAGAGTGAAGCAAAATGGAGAAAGACAATCCGTTTCCAATGTGTAATTTAGTTTTTCAAAGCTTCGTCCAGTGTGGAAGTCTTCTCTCTTAGAAACAACATAGCTACCACTTAAATCTCCTACGTGGGCTCCGGAGTTGAATCTCAGTGTAGCTAATGCCTGATCCCTGAATGCCGTTGTCTAGAGGGTAAAATCCTAGAGGTGCACTGGTATCCCAGCCCCCCATCCTCTCATATGTAGCAGGAGGTTCAAATTCGTTTATTGGCATCACTTGTTTTGTGGCAACATGCCTGTCTGACAGAATGCCGCCCTTCATCTATTTCAAGGAATTTTCAAAATTGGGACACAAGCGAGCAACCTTTGAACACGCTGTTCTGTTTGACTAGAATACGCTTCCTTCCCTCTCCCCTTCTCAGTTTTGCTTGGCTTCTTTCAAGGTTGGTTTTCTTCTGATACACACTGAAACCAGCGGCCTGTTGCTGTGCTTACTGGTTGTTTACTGCAGGCATGCTTATTAATTGCTGAATATCTAGGTTATCTACACTAATAACGGTTTTGAGTATCACATCGACTTATTCCAATTCTTTTGAAACTGTTCACGCGTCAGCTTCTCTGATCTCAGTCCCTAAGTTTTGCGCCTCTTCCATGTTTTCATGGGACCTTATGCTTACTCAGCTCACCCTTCAGAACTAGCTCTCGCATGCTTACCACCTTTTTTTAAAAATCACGACCCTGGTTGTATGTGTTTGTCTTTCACTCTTTCTGAAAACTAGGGCGAGGCTGTTCTCTACGCTTTGAATCCTCAGGTTCATGGGTACAGTGCCTAGCCTTAGGAAGGCGCTCAATCAATATCTGCTGAAATAATGATGAATCATCCCCTCTGGCTGAAGGGCAGTGATGTCTAGGATAAAGGCCCTACCTCTGACCACTGGAAGGCCATGTGAGTCTTCTCAGCAATGGCCCAACGGCTAGACTAGATTTTGACTCCAATTTCCACTTTCAGACCCTCTGTCCCTCATTTTGAAAGATATTACTCTGAGAATGGAGGTAATCCCAGCTATGGTGGATATCCACCAAGGGAGACTTGTGTTCCACGGGCAGGGGGCACACGGCTCCGCTCATCCCCGGGTAACATGAGGTGGAGCTTGCGGCCATGTCCCTCAAACTAGTATAGTGTTGCCAAACAGTGAGTTTTCATTTACTTTCATATAGGATACGAGCTAAAAAACAAACTCCAGATGTTGACAGTGGTAGGAATAGAAGGGATACATAAATTCTTTTATGCCAGTGGTTCCCAACCTGATAAGGGAGCTCTGGAGTTATATAGCCAAGGCACCAAGATTACCTGGGCATAGCTGTTATTTCCATAGGCATATTCAGGGATGCTAAAAGGACATTCTTATCTTAGGAGGCATATGTACTTATGTACATATGTATTGATGATATATATTACTTATATATGGGAATGGATATATAGATACCACATATATGGAAAGTAATATATACATATATGGAAGGGCCATTGCCCAAATTGAAATGTTACACCTTTATGTATGTTTCATATTTTAATGGTGTGTATTTGACAATTAATTTTAATGAGGGAAAAAGTCAAATGATCTTAATTTAACACTTTCATTTCAAGGAAAATAAATTCAAAAGACACGATTTAAGGTGACACTCTGCCAAGAGAAAACGTGAATGACTGTGTTTGTGAGCTCCTTCAACTGAAGCACTCAGCTCAGGTCAGCAAACGTTTCTTGGGCACCAACTAAGGAGCAAGCATTGTGCAGATCCTGGTATGCACTGGTGGTAGAGGGGAACTATACGGAAGCAGCATTTCTCAAAGTCCTCTGCCTAGCTAGCAGAAATTTCTAGAAAATGAAATTTCTAGAAGCCACTGTAGACCACTTAATCAGAATCTCTGAGCATGGGTCTAGGGGGTTCCCATTTCAACAAAGCATACACTCTCGATTATTCCTATGCACATGCGTGTGTGAGAGACATTACTTTAATGCGTTACTTTGACTGCAATGACGTGTTTTCAATAAAGAATGTTGGCCGGTACACCAATAAGATTTAATCTAAGGCCAAAAATTTAGCTCAGAAAGTGATGGCACTTTGCGTAACACAGCAGGGCACGCCTGGGCTATACGTTTGTGGATTCTTAGGATGGCGGCATAAGCGTGTGTCAAAGTGAGCTCTGTGTGTGTGCAGGTCCGGCACGATGCCTTGAAAGCCTTGTGGGAAATAAGGAGACTCCAGCGCCTTCTTGGAGGTGCTTTACGAAGTAGGAAAAGACTGCGCACGTCCCTCCTCTCCTTTTGAGAGGACAGACTAGACTCTGGGACAGGTCTCACTGAGCTGCGCCCTGCGTGGGAGAGGGAGTCTGCACCTGGGATACTCACTCTGTGTCTTCTGCATGGCGCTCCGCAGTGGGTGAGCCAAGATGGTAGCCTGTAGACATGCTTTCCAGGTGAGTCGCTATGGCGTTTATATTGGTGTCTGCTACAACCTGGGGGGAAAGTTAGGACACGATCACCCATCAAAAGGCAGGGGCAATGGAGGAACCACGTTATACCCAGTGGTCAGTTCTCAGGCCTCAGTTTCGTTTGCAGTATCAGGCACACAGATTATTCTTTCTTCAACAGTTTCCTTGATTTGGCTTCCACCCTCTACCACTGTCCTGTCCACCATTGTGGCCACTCCTTTCTGACACTTCTGTCACCAGTGTTCCTGGGGGCAGTCCTTGAGCTTCTTGTCTTTTCCATGTACACATCTTTCCTTGGGGAACTCATCTCCTGCACGCAACACCACCTGCGTGCCAAAGTCTCCCCAATCTCTAGCTCTAGCCTACCTCTTACCTAACCTCCAGGTTTATATATTCAGTTGCCGATTTGATAGCTTTCGTTGGAGGTTAAGGAGTTTCTCAAGCCGGATATGCCCATCCTCTCAAGTTTTCTTACTTCAGGTAAAGGCAACTTGATCCTTCAAGTTACGGCAAAAACCTCGATGTTGTCCTTGACCCCTTTCCTTTTCTCATCACCTAAAATCCTCATACAACTTTATGGGTCTATCTACAACATAGCTTGCCTTGAGTTTTGTAAGAGCTTCTTCTCTTGTCTCCCTGCTTCAGGGCATCCCCCCCCCCCCCAAATCTATAGCACTAGACTAGCTAGGGGAGACCTGGGCACAGTGGTGTGTTTTCGCTGTGATCTGTAAGGCCAGCCACTCACAAACGAGAGGAAGGCAGGGCTTGCTGTTATGGCTGCTTGTTCCAATAAGAGACAGAGTCTCTGAAACCCACAGGGCGGTTCTACTGCGTCCTACAGGGTCACTGTTGCGTGATCTTGCATACCCCGTCTCCCAATGCTCTCCAGGGCTCGCTCTGCTCTAGACATGTGGCCTCCCCTGTTCCTCTAACCAGCCAGATGAACACAGTCCTGTCTCAGCCCATTGCAATGGCTGGTCCTTATGCCTAAGACAGTCTTTATTCAGTGTCTCCATGGCTGGCTCCTTCGCTTCCCTCAGGCCGTTCAAGTCTCCCTCCTAGGCGCTCTGACTGCAATTTCCCCACCAACCCTCCCGCCCCAGCGCTTTCTAGCCAGCTTCCCTGGGTACATGCTCCCCGGTTTATCATCCTTACTACTGACGGAACTGTCCCTAGTTTACCTGACTTACCATAGCTACTGTGGATTGCCTCTTACTAAATACGGTGTGAGGGCAGGACGTTCATGTGTTTTTTCTTCATTACGATAGTCCCATCGTACAGAATAGTGCCTAACACACAGTATGTGCTCAATATGTATCTGTTGACTGAAAGAAAGAATGACTGTCTCTGGCTCGTGAAGTGTGCCTTTTAGATGGTCTGAGTCCTGTTGGCGTCGTGTTTAGGAGTTGGGCTGCTAACTGCCAGGTCAGCAGTTTGAAACCACCAGCAGAAAGATGGGGCTTTCTACTCCTGTAAAGAGTTAAGTCTCAAAAACTCACAGGGACAGTTCTACCGTGTCCTACATGGTCGAGACGAGACAGCACCAATGGTAACAAATCTAAAATCAGATGATGACATATGAACATGCACTTGGTATTTGACAAACTCTTCAAAGCACCCAGAATATATATAATACAGCTCTGAGAGCCCGTGCCTGAGTTTCAGTTTCCTCTTCGGTGAAATAAAAACTGTAAAAGCCTGCTTTGGTTGTTTATCCTGCCTATCCTGGAGATGTCTCCATCACTCAAAGCTTCTTTCTCAAAAGTTCCTGGGTTCCCCTCCTTCTGTTCAGTGGGCCTGCTTGTAGGATGTAATATTTGTTGCGCAAGTAGAGAGCCTGACCACACTACGCAGGAGCTTGACTTAGCTGCAATTTGAGACTAAGCCAACAGGGGGCACAGCTGCCTAAACCACTAAGCAGCATCTGCTAGGTGGAGTATTTCCGGAGAGTGACAGGCCAGGTAGAGCTAGGCCAGAAAAACATTTTGGGCAAAGCTTCCTATTCTGGGGAAACCATTGCTATTTTAAAATAAGTTAAAGATAATCATATCAAGAATGACTGAATGAACTGGGCAATATTTAGGATAAAAGATTTAACAAGAAAATGACAGATTCTCCCTGGCCACCCAAAAAACCCACAGCCATCAAAACTATCCTGATTCATAGGAGCCCTCTATAAGGTCTCTGGGATTATAAATCTCTACAGAAGCAGACAGCCTCGTCTTTCTCTTGTAGAGCAGTTGGTGGGTTTGAACCAACAACCTTGCAGTTAGCAGCCCAATTCTTAATCCATAGCACTACCAGGGTTTCTTCTCGGGCCGCCAAAGCCCACTAATTACCACCAGCTCTTCTTTGATCCCTTTCACTGCAATTGTATCTTAGGAGTTGTTTTTATACCTGGTCTCTGTGATTGCATCTGTTCTTAATGTACATCTATCTCTATAACCTACTCCATCCCAATTTTGGTCCCATTCGTACTCCCTTGGGTTTCTGGAAGCCTTCTGCTCAACGAGCTTCTCCATCTCCTTTGTATTCTTTACTGTCTTCTCACAGTTCAGCCCCGGGCCATCTTCCTACTTGGTCATGCTGACTCCAGATGATGCATCCATATTCCCATGGCTTTAAATTCCAACAGCATGCTGACAATTCCCTGGCCAGCCTGATATCGTAATTTGCCAACTAGACATTTACATTATCTCAAAGCTTATTAAAATTAGCACAACCAAATCCAAATGCCTAATCCAACCACCTAGTCCCCTCAGTTCACGTCCTCATCTTTCACTGGCACCTCCAGCTGCCACGGAGAAAGACTGACAGCACTGCTGGCTGGGGACTGCCCATTTGGGCAGGATGCTAGCCACACAGGTGCTTTCTCTCTAAGTAACAGCCCCAGCACCTGGAGTCTACCTAGCACCCCACTCTCTCACCTGCCATGTATAACCCATTACCAAATCCGTAGAGTCTACCTCGATATTATTTCTCAAATGTGTTCATTAAAATAAAAACTTAAAAATCACTACAGTGAAGAATTTAGCTCATTATCACCAACTGCCCTTAAGTAGAATCTCCCCTTATCCCCTTCTGATCTCTTCTGCACACAGCAGTCAATTGTCTTCCTAAATATAGAAGGGGCAAGGGCACCACTCCCATATGAAACCTTGCCAGGGGTCTATCTGTGAATCAACTTCAGCCTCCCTAATTACTTACACAAGGGCCCTCCCACGCCTCCCAGGCTATCTTCCACCCTCCCCACATGCCTGCACTTCCTTGGAATTTCCCCTCCCCTAGGGGCCCTGGCCCCAGCTTCAACATGACTTCAAAGCTTCAACAAGTCGTCCTTGAGCACACCCCACTTAAACGAACTTCAACTGCTTTCCTCTCCACGGCTCTCTCACAGATCGCGAGGGGCCCTGTTTCTGTGACTGTTCACTGTCTCTCCTCGCTGACCGCAGGATCCACGAGGCCAAAGGGCTGCTTCCTCTCAGGCAACGCTACGAGGTGCCTGCAGAGTAAGCGCATCGGAAGTCCCTCATGAGGAAGAGGGCTCATGGGACTGGCTTTTCTGAACTTCCACAGAGCACACTGAGATGGAGAAAGATTACGAGATGAAAGAAAAACCTAACAACTAAAGCAGTTAAAAATGGAATGGGACACATTTTTAGGACCCGAGTACCCCATTAGGCAGGGATTCAAATGGAGCTCAGTGTTTTTCTGTTTGGGAAGCTGGACACATACTCCATCAGCTGTCCTTGAAACAAGACAATCAAAGAGCTATGCCCACATATGAGTACCCACGTGAAGACTGTTACCCATGCTACACCATGCTTCATGACAAATCTCATTTATTTGTCATTAGAAATAAATATTTCACAATCTATAATTACATATTATTTTGTGATTAATCACTATGCTTAATTATGTTCAATTTGTAACAATGAAAATATCTCCTGCATTTCAGATATTTACTGTTTCTAACAGTAGCAAAATTATAGTTATGAAGTAGCAACAAAAATAATTTTATGGGTGTGGGGGTCACCACAACATAAGGAACTGTATCAAAGGGTCGCGGCACTAGGAAGGTTGAGAACCACTGATCTCGAATCTTGTGCTCTTAACCATTTGTGGTGTGGGGCAAGTTGGTGTGGGTACAAAGACTTGGTCTCAGCCAGTGGTTTACAGACTAGGCATGCAGCTGGATAGCGAGCCACAGAGACAGAGTCAAGCAGGCAGCAACAAAGAAAACAAGGAATCTTGACTGCAAATTAATATTCGAATGTTACCCCCAGGGTGCTTTAAGGAAGAGAGGAAGAGAGGATAAGGGAGCTATATCGTCATTGATATTCTAGGAAGAAAGCCCATGTAAACTGAAACCAAAGTCCATTTTATTTGGGTGGGGGGAGGGGTCCATTTATTTTCCCTAGCTTCAAGGCAAGGGGAGAGACTTAGTGATCGGCGTCTGGAATGATTACACCCCAGGAAATGTTATGGGAAAGTTCTTTTTGTCCTGTAGGGTTGCTATGAGTTGAGATCCATTCAACAGCACGCCCCAACCAAATGAAACCCCCACAAAACCAAACTTACTGCTATCAAAGTTGATTCCGAATCCCACTCAGACTGAGCCTGTGCGTTTCTGAAGCCGTTGATCTTTGCCAGAGCAGAAAACCTCATCTTTTGCTGATGGATGGCTCGTGGCTTCAAACCGCTGAGCCTTTCAGTAAGCAGCCTGGCTTATAACCTGCTATACCACGGCGCACTCTAACAACCACATGCTGGTGAGCCCATTTCAACTCATAGTGACCCCGTCTTCAACCGACCACAGGAGATCCAGAAAAACTCACTTCCTTCCCAGGCCTTGCTCACTGACATGAACGGGGTCCTCTCACCACTGCCGGGATTAAATCCGGAGATCCTCCCAAGATCTAGCAGCTCTCCAGGCAGCTGGCTATCTCCTATGAGATGAGCAGCCATGCAAAGGACTTTTCACTGACACACAGGTCTTCCACAGGAAACCAGGGGAAGAACAA